GGTGGTTTTTCCTGACCGTTTCAATGGCTTTAAATTCAGTGACACATTAATAGACAAATATTTTTTAAGCCTTAAACTGGATTCTGTGCATATCTGTATGAAAATTTTGAGTAAGCAGGAAGCTGAAAAAGCTATTAAGAAATCAGAAAATGCCTACTGGCAAATGGGTGCTGGTAAAATATTTATGGGTTTGTGTGACAGGCAGTTAGTTATAACTGTCATCTTTGTTGGGATTCCTTCAGTTTTGTTTATATTATAGCTGCTTTGATCTTCCAAGTAATGCTTTTTAGAGAATCTGCATATAAATGTATGTTGCTCAAACTCAACAAATATAAAAATTTTTCTTGTTTCAAAGGAAGCTATTAAAACTAACAACTTCATTACATCACTCCATATTTATTTGAGATATTTAAAAAAAAATAAAGAAAGATATTAAACACTGCAATTGTGATAAACACTACTTGGCTATTGTGGTAAATAAAGTTTTTCTGTTTGAATTTGTGGGATGTAGATTTATTATTACATCCTTTATTTACATTCAGATTATCATTCTCACCTTTTGTATTATTACCATAATGTTTTCCTGGCTTCTTTAGGTGGTTGAGCCTGGTCAGCATCTAGATGGTTGATTGCTTTGAAATAGCAGGTGCTGTAAGCTTTGGTGTATGAGTAGTGTAAGAGATAATGGCTCAGAATTATTAATTGGAAAGAAGAGTTCCAATTCCTTTTTGGATTCATTATATTCATTTACATGCAAAAACCCTTGGGAAAGGTATGAATCCACCTCTTCTCCCCAGCTATGGATTAATTAGTAAGACATGTATCACTAAACCATTATCTCAAAAAAAATCTTACAATTTAAAATATTTTCTGGCTTTAAATAACCTGCAAAGGGTTGATAATCCTTAAACAGCAAAACAATAAATCAATAAATTCTTAAGGTGTTTGTTGATTACAGTAACCTTCAGGAAATTCCCTGAATCAACAGATATCTGAGGGAAGCCAGAGGGCACAATAAAACAACAAAGATGAAGATACTCATCCAAATATAAATAATATAAATAAAAACAGTTTTTATACAAGATTCCCAGTTTTGTATACAACCTATCAATTCCATATGCTTTTTGCTTTATTTTTAATAATTAAAACTTCTAACAAAAGGTATTTTCAGATTAACCATTTTGTTTGTTTCATTTCTATTCATATTTCATTAATTTGTTGCTATTTGTTTTTAGCTATGTTTGTTTTAACATTTATTGAAGGAATATTTTTTCTGATTATATGACTCTTTAATTATTGAATTCTGTCAGTTGATGGATTTTTAAATTTGTGCTATTATTTCTTAGAATAATTTTAACTTCTTTGAATATTTTTACTTTTCATATTTTTACCTCGGTATCTTTTTCACTTTTGAAAATATGCCTCATTAGTAATTTTGAGTTTTTGCATTTGTGATATTCTAATTGTTTTAAATCATGTGTTATATACACACACACACACACACACACACACACATATATAGTATATTCATAATTTTAACCATAAAACATGCATACACACACATATACACTATAATCGGCTCTCCCGTCAAATTCGACTTATGAGGGTCATGCAGATCAGTTCCCAGGAAACCAACAGCCCAACAACAGCACATGAGATTTGATTATAGTGGTGAAGGTTTCGTGCAGGACCTTCCACACTTTTTGAAGGTGGAATACAGAGACCTGGTGCACTACGTGCCACAAGGTTCCCAAACCACCCTCCGCAGATTTTGAATTCAGAGTTGTCCTTCTCCTAGACCAGTTTCCATCCAAGGCTATAAAACCTAGTCTGTTCTGCTATTTACCCATAGCTGGAGGGAGAAGAGGATTCACACCTTTCCCAAGGGTATTAGCAAGGTAAGGGTAAGTTAATGTAATGTATTCGACTGGAATTCAAACTCTGCTCTCCAATTCCTCAATCCAAGCTGCTCTCCATAACTCCACCATGCCTCATATATATATATATATATATATATATATATATATTCAGACTGTTGTCCTCATCTTTGTTGCCATATTCACAAGGCTCCTGCCATTGTATGCTCTGACCTTCTTCAGATGATTGGAATTTCAAAATGAACCCTTTTATTTTTCCCACTGGGGCAGGTTGTTCTAGTTCCACATGCTATGTCATGCCTCTTCCAGATGTCTCAGTATTAGTTATCTCCCTTTTAACTCAAGTTTTTTTTTCTTTTGTTCACTTTTGTTGTAGCAAGGTATTGAACTCACAATAATTTGGGTCAAATCACTGGATTCAACCAATTCCTACATCCACTGTCCAATCTAGTAGATGAAATAAAGAGTCCAGCTCAAAATTCCAAATACTTGAAGAAGGCCAGATAATATAATGGCCAAAACAGCATGAATATGGCAATGAAGATGAGATCAACAATCTGACAATATAGTCTAAATAATTACAATACCTCATCTCGGAAATACACACACACACACACACACACATACATATATATATATATATATATATATATATATATATATATATATATATGTTTTTTTTTTAATTCAAACCAGCCTGGAGAGGGTTGAACTCCATAAGGCTGTCTTGCCCATGAAACACTACTGCTGCTATGGCTGCAGTAGATGTGGTGCCCTTAAAACTCATTCATGATCATGAGTTACAGTTGAGGAAAGGATAAAAATACAAGGCTGTCTTCAATGATGTTCAAGTGACACAACACTTATTGATACAACACTTATTGGTACAGAAATTGGAACTGGCAAACCAAGTTCAAATTCTGGCCTAGTCCTTTGCATTCACTTTGCACTAATGCCCTTGGGAAAGATATCAATTTATCTTATTATTGATTAAATATCAGAGCAGACTAGGATCATTAGATTTGGGTGTCAATTAGTCAAGGGGAAACATGACTGAATTTAAAACCATCAATAAGTCATCTTTCATAAAATTCATGGTAATTTTCAGATAATGAAGAAAAAGAAACTGTGGAGAGCTATGATCAGCATCCTGAAAAGATATGGCATTAAAAAAAGAAACTACAATGATTATCAAAACAAATATTTGCTGATACAAATTTTACAGCTATAAATACTGAAGATACAATATTTCTACAAAAATACCATACTAATAAAACCATGACACTACTGCATTTTGAGTATGGCAATAAACTACATCCAAGTCCTGGGTAAAATGATAAACTATGTCCAACAGCAAGGCCTCTGATCAGGAGGTTTTGAGGAGCATGGAACCACCTCTTAATTGCTGGTGTTCCCAGGTCCGCCCTGACCCAGGGTGATAACACCTATTAGGGTCCCAGCTATGGGCAAATAGTTAACCCCCAAACTGTGGTCAAAACACTATGAAAGTGTAAAAATAGGTTTTAATACCAGCAATTCATTTTTGGAAAAAAAATATTACCAGCAATAAAAATATTGTTGGTTATAAATAACCCATTGAGGTTGATATGCCGTAAAACAAACCAAACAATGACTCTGCCATCTTGAATATTATAAAGAAAATAAAAATAGTTACCTTGCCAGAAAAAAACTACATATTGTTTCTTTACACTTATATATGGTCTTTGTCAAGTTTGAGGATGAAAGTAACAGTTTTTGTGTGTTAATGACTGGATAATTTAGGTACTTACTGGGAGTGGCTTTTCCAAAATACCTGACTCTGCCTACCATGTTCTATTTTTATGTGAGCTAGGTCAGTGCTGCTAAATCCTCACTTTACAGTCTTGGCAAAGTTCAAAAGTGTTTGCACAGACTTGTTGATGGTCTTTGGTGTTACAAGTAATTTTGTTGGTCTCTCATTCAACTGCACACCAAAGTTAATAATGAAGGGGGTTGCAGTCTGGGGACTTAGGTAGCCACATGTAAGGGGTGATGTGGTCACAGAAATTGTCTGACAGCTATGATTGGGTTCTCCTGCTTGTGTGGCGTGGTACAGAGTCCTGTTACCAGATATAAGATCTTTCAGCAGCCACCCTATTTGACTCAGGGCAGCACTACCTCCTCAAGGTACCTGATGTAGGCCTCCATGTTGACTGTGAAGCTCTGTGAGAAGATGAATGGAGGCATAATGTCACCATCACTAGTGATCACTCCAAATGCCACGATGCTGACTGGATAATATCACTCAACTCTTTCCAAAACCTCTGCACTGTCCTCAGATTGACACCCAAACACTACGAAACGTTCATATTGGAGCCTTCAGTGCAACATGCAGGCGACAAAATCAAAAACAAGCAACACACATGCACGAAACCTAAAATATAAAATAGTGACAATTTACCCATCACACCCTGTATATATATATATATATATATATATATATATATATATAGGCAGCATATATTCATTCAAACATATATAGGCATATTATGTCTATTTTATAATAATCCTTTTGAGTTCTCTAATCAGCTTCTTCATAAGTCGAAATTCATCAAGATGGTGCTTGTTTTGATAAACACCATAGCTGCAACTGATAAATTTAAAATAATTATAACCATGTGTGTTCATATGTGTTTTCAAAAATCACCATCAGAACAATCACAGTTACAATAAGTTTGTTTTTGCAATACACCCCCTGAGGATGATCTCCAAGAAGATCAAAAGTATTTGGGTAAGTATAGCACCTTCCTTGATGAATTTCAACATAACATCAAGAAGCTGCTTAGAGAATGAGAAAGAATTATTCTAAAAATAGACAGACCTAATATGTCTATATTATTTAATGAAACATGTTTGAATATATATATATATATATATATATATATATATATATATATATATATATAATTAACATGAATTCAAAATCTTCACCTAAATAGAAGTCATATTTAATTTTGATATATTTAGAATGATTTTTCTGGTTGAAGAAACTATTTTCTCTTCATAACTTTTCATTAAACTAATGATAGCAAAATGATGATTTTGTCTGTTTTAAATCATAATAAAGAGTTGCTATTATTACAGAAAGTTTTCCAGGAAGCAGTCATTGACGAGAAGCCCTAGTGTCAGTTCATCATTTAAATTATTCAGGTTAGTTCAAGTTGGTTTGTGTTAACACAACCTCATCAATAATAGCAAGACTTTTTTCTTACTGTTCTTTTTATGTGTGTTTATAATATACTAACTATAAACACAAGATTAACAAATTCTAACAAGGAAATATTGATTTCAAAAACTACTCAGGGGGGGGAATTTAATGTTGGAATGTCAAATCTTCAATAATGATGATGAATTTAAATCAAAATTCAAAAAACTTTTCTTGAATTTGTTCACATTGTCATATTGAAGTAAAGGAAAGTAATTGTTTACTTCTAAATAAACATTAACTACAACAGCATGAAACATCAATTTAGTAGATGAATTATCATAATTTTCTCTCACCTGTGCTTCATATCAGAAAATTAATTTTTTTCATTTCTTTTATTCTTTCTATATGTGCATAAAACTCATAAATTGCTAAATTTACTTTAATTATATATGTCAGTATGTCCACAGCCTGAATTATATTACGTGAATGAATCAATAAATGAAACAAATGAGTTAGTTGATCAGTGAAATCGCATACATTTTGTTTCTTTGGGAATGATTAACAACAAGACATTTTGGAAAAGATTTTTAAAATTCTAAAACTGTACATTTTTGCTAATGATATTTCCTTCTTAATTATTACAAAAATATATTTTTGAGACTGAGGAAGTCAGGTAACAAATTAAATATCTTTTCAATAGTAGTTTAAATTCTGCTGTAGCTATAATCTTCATGTGTACAAGCCATATGGAAAGGTGTTTTTTTTTTTCTGTTTGCCACCATTTTCTGGTTTGCACTAACAAGAAAAAAAATGCACATCCCATTGTTTTTTCTCCATACAGACTAAGTGTTAACAAAAGCAACAAAAAAGAATGAATTCCGCCATTCAAAGAGTTAGTGATAATAACTAATTTGAAAATTATAGAAGTTTTGTTTTGAGAGTTAGATTTAATTAGAAAATTTTTTGAGAATAAAATTTAATTTCAAATGGTTGCTCATTTCTAAGCATCCCCAGCTACTCAGGTTCATTTGTGATTCTTCAACACCCACAGAACCAACCTGTTCTTTATACTGCAACTATGGTAAGTAGACTTTAGTTACAGTTTAATTATGTGCCCCACCTTGGCCACACATAGCTTTGAATTCTGTGTGTGTTTACCTTCTCCAAGAGTGGTTGTCAATCATGGATAGAGAGTCTACCCTACTATTTAATCCATAGCTGGGAGAGAAGAGATGAATTCATTCCTTTCCTGAGAGCATTTGTGCCAAAGGGAATGCAATTATCTTGACTGGAATACAAACTCTGCTCACGATTTCTCATGAGCCTCCAATGTCTTCCTACCTTTGCTTGAAGGTGTGTATGTATGTGTATATACATATATATATATATATATATATATTGTGGTTCCTAGTCTGAATTTGTCAGCTATCTCCCCTACTCTCCCCTTGCCTACTTTGGCATTCAGGTCTACCATGATAACTATAACTTCTTGTGATTTGCATTTATCTAGCATGGAGTAGAAAAATTTGATTTATTCTTCTGTACTTTGTGCTTTCAGTGCATATACTATTATATGTTGAAAGGCTTTCCTTTCAGTTTAACTACAATAATTCTTTCAGATAATTGACCAAAATGCATTTCTTGATATCTTGATCTAGTATCAATCCAACTCCTTTTTCATTTTTCTCTCCACCTGCATATATATAATCCAGTGATTATCACTGACAAAATCTCTGTTGTTTAGCCACCTAGTTTCACATATAGCTAAAATATTGAAATTTAACTTACTCATCTCCTGTTTTACATTTACCAACTGGCCACAGTTGTGTAAGATTCTAATATTCCATGTCCCAAGAGTTATATTTTGTTTCATGTGAACTGGATAATAGTCTAGTGACACCTGCTGCTCATGCCACTCCTTTTTGGGTGAGGGATAAGTTCTGAGGAATTTTATCCCCTTTACACAGTTTATGCTAGCAGTCATTGGATGATGATGGCCAAGTGACACCTGTTGCATATGTTGGTCCTTACTGGGCAAGGAGTTAATTTCCATAGACTTAACCCCCTTCATGCTGTTAGCTTTTATAATTTGTTTGTTAATTGCCATGATATGTCTTGAAATTAATAGTGGAGTAGTTTCCCATTGCTTTTTCAACAGTGCTTTATGAAAACACTGCCTCTAGTTAGCTGGCTGTAGATTCATTGAGAGTTCTTCCACCCTTTGTTAGTTCTTATTTTTCAAACTACTGGGTTGCTAACAACCCTCCTCACTTGCAAGAACATGGAGTGGGGTAGCTGGTTTAGTTGCTGGCACTCCAGCAGTGAAATATTTACCTATATTTACCTTGCCCCTTAACAGACATGTATACATACCTGTGTGCTGAGGAGTAAAAGAAAAAAAATGTCTAGACTGACCCCACACCCATCTGTTAGTGAGGAAAGGGTTGCTGGATTGGAGTTAGTAGGGTGGGAGAGGGAATAAAATAATTATTAAGTTTTAACTTAGTATGTGTCAGAACGCCCACTTTTTTTTTTTTTTAACTGTGTTCTCATAATCCATAGTCAGTCTCCAAATAAAACATCATTAAAAGCTGTGACCCCAATCAATTAACATTTCATTAGTACACACATCGGTGTGTTTGTATATATATATATATATATATATATATATATATATACACACACACACACACACACACACACACACAAACCTTCAAGCAAAGGTAGGAAGACATTGGAGGCTCATGAGAAATCGTGAGCAGAGTTTGAATTCCAGTCAAGATAATTGCATTCCCTTTTGCACAAATGCTCTCAGGAAAGGTATGAATTCATCTCTTCTCTCCCAGCTATGGATTAAATAGTAGGGTAGGCTCTCTATCCATGATTGACAACCACTCTTGGAGAAGGTAAACACACACAGAATTCAAAGCTATGTGTGGCCAAGGTGGGGCACATAATTAAACTGTAACTAAAGTCTACTTACCATAGTTGCAGTATAAAGAACAAGTTGGTTCTGTGGGTGTTGAAGAATCACAAATGAACCTGAGTAGCTGGGGATGCTTAGAAATGAGCAACCATTTGAAATTAAATTTTATTCTCAAAAATTTTCTAATTAAATCTAACTCTCAAAACAAAACTTCTATAATTTTCAAATTAGTTATTATCACTAACTCTTTGAATGGCGGAATTCATTCTTTTTTGTTGCTTTTGTTAACACTTAAGTTTTATTCATGTGTACAGTCTGTATGGAGAAAAACAATGGGATGTGCAACAGTGTGGACAGCCAATAACTAGGTAATAACCAATACTTAGTTCCAAGAACATCCAAGACAATTATGGACATAGAGAAGCCCAGGAGAAGAAATTAAATCCAAACTGATTACATACCCATCAAGAAAAGATTCAGGAATGCCGTTGTTCACTGCAAAACCTATCCAAGAACTGACTGCCGAAACAACTACCTCCCTATTATATATAAACTAAGAGTCAAACTGCAGAAACTGAAGAAGACTAATGCAGTACCCACATTGCAATACAACAGACTCCTGAACCTGAACTCATGGGGAAAAATATATGGACAGTGTGAAAAGAAGATACGAGGGTCGAAATGGAAATGAAAACATGAAATGGGAAACATTAATAGAAGCTTTAGTGACATCAGCAAATGGCATCATCGCAAAGGTGAATGGATGAAGAAAAAACAAGTGGATCACAGATGAAATTCTTGACATGATTCAAAGGTGACAGAAAACAATGCCAAGAGATGCAACAGGATACAGAAAAGTACACAATGAAATAAAGAACAGATGCAGGCAGGCTAAAGAAAAATGGCTCAACAATAATGTGCAGAAATAGAGCAAATGAGTATCATAGATGTGCATAAAAGTATAAGGAAACTAACGAGAGAGAAGACCTGCTCATTGGCAGGCTGCATAAGATCCAAGGAGAGAATGCTCATATTAGGGAAAGAAAAAATTCTTCAGCACTAGAACAAATATATTAGACATCTCTTTCATGATGAAAAAGAACAAATGGCAATACACAGAAATACTGACGTGCCAAGAATAGTAAAACCTGAAGTGGAAGCTGCACTGGCCAAATTGAACAGAAACAAAGTAGCAGGGTCAGACGGAATTGTAACAGAGATGCTGACAGACTTAGATGATTTCAGCATAGACAAGATTACAGAAATAACAAATGAAATCTACAACAGTGGTGATATACCAAAAGACTAAAGCATATCTATTTTCATAGCACTGTCCTAAGAAACCAGGCACAAACAAAAATGAAATGGAATGTTATCAGAAAGTGCAATACAAATGCAGAAGAATGTGTACCTGTGTTTTATAGACTATGCAAAAGCATTCAACAAAGCACGCTGCAAAGATCTGTTAAAGCTATTCAGCAACCTTGACATATTTGAGAAAGACATTAGAATAATCAAAAATCTCTACTGGCAGCAAACTTCCTGCATACAGATACAAAATGAGTTCAGCAGATTTTGATAAATAGAAAGGGACATAAAGCAAGGATGTGTCTTCTTATTGGACTTATTCAACCTATACAGTGCATCAATTTTGAGAGAACTGGAAATGCTACCAGGCTTTATCACTGGCAGCCAGAATCTTAACAACATAAGCAAGCTGATGACACAGTGTTGATAACAGACACAGAAAGAAAATTACAAAATCTCCTACAGAAGGTAGCGAAGGAGAATGAGGAGAAAGGACTAAGCATAAACTACAAGAAAGCAGAATGCATGGTCATCAGCAGAAAATGAGCCCAAAATGCAATTTACTGTTCGGGGATACTAAAATCAAGCAGACACAAAAATTTATATATCTAGGAATGTTCTAACCAAAGACAGAATGTGCAACACTGAGATCAAGAGACATATTGGGATGGCCAAAGATGCATTCCAAAAGCTAAGCAAAGTATTACAAAACAGGATAATTTTGTTGAAAACAAAGAAAAGAGTATTGAACAGTTACATATGTCCTCCTATATGGCAGCGAATGCTGGACAAT